TGCTCCGCCATGACCTTCATGGCCGCTCCATTTCTGTAACCCCCCAGCCATGGTAACAGGGGGCTTCCTCCACCCACGCGTGCCCAGTCCCCTCCCCCATGCTTCCTGTCCCTCCCTGCCTCCTCTCTTTTCTGCCCTGTGTAACCCACCCCCGGGCTGCTGACCCCAATCTCCCTTTTCCTTTCTTCCTCCTGGCCTTCCTTCCCAAATGGGTCACTTCTTCGGGGTCCCCCAACTGCTTACCCCATCAAGTCGCTGTGTCATTGCAATCTAACCCCACATTTGGCCAAGGCTGGTGACCTCCCAGACAACCACACGTGGGCATGTTACTGCTTTGTCCATGTCTCTCCCTTCTCTTCCCAGGCTGGCTTCTATCCGCTTTTCCCAAATGTTCCTGATTCAAAATGCACCCTCCCTCGTGATCTCTTTGTTGACTTAACATTTAGATCCGTCTCTCTCCTACTCGTAAAAAGTGTTTGCACGTAGGCGTGTCATTTTATATTGTGTTTTTGATGATCAGGATTTTAGGGTGCTTCATGTGTTTCTTGGGTTGCAAGTATCTTCCTTCCTTGCTGAACACGTGCCTTTGGGAGCCATGGCCCTTTGAGGTCTCAAGTGACATAAAAGACACAGGTCTGACCCACTGAAACTTGCAAGCTGGTTTTTGACCCCCTGCGGCATGTCGGGAGCAGTTTATATGAAAGCCATGGTGGGCACCAAGGGGGACATTGTGCAGCCCCATCTCTCCTCCTCCACCATCACACAGTCTAGGATGTTATCCAAAGACACTGGAGGCTTGAGCCGGCACGTGCAGCCTTAACTTTCACTTTTAAGCCAGTGCCCTTCAGGGGTTTCTCAGAATCTTGAACAACTCCTCCTTTGGCATTCACAACTGAGTGACATTTCGACGTCACCTGTCAAGGCAAGGCAGCAAATGCACGTTCTCCTCATCAGGCCCTGTGGAAAGTCTGCATCCCGGCTCACGGCTGGAAACGTACCCTCTGCTTTCCCTCTGGTTAGACCGTAACCACAGAGGTCTGCAAAGCCAGGAGAGAAAGCCGTGCACAACGCTCCCAGGTCTCCATGTCTTTGATGGGGGATCTTAGAAGACCGTAGGAAGGTCTGGAGGAATACAGGAGAGGGTGACTCAACCATATCAGGGAGGACTCCCAAACTTCCTTCCATTAAGTAGGTGTTTATCAGGTGGTTCTGGGCGGTAGCTCTTGGCCTTTCTCTTTGCATTAGCCTCTAGGTTCATGGACAGCAGGCAAATCTCATCTGTTCCCACCCAACCCAGCCAGGGCCCTTGCACACTGCTTTGCAGATGCCGCATAGATCCTGCAGAATGAAGATGAGCTCTCGCATGGTCCAAGTTCTGGTTCATTAAAAAATAAAGTGGGCGTGGGCATACTGTGAAGGCTAGAAGGCTGTTCCTCTGTAAGCGTGATGAAAGCAGAATATAAAACTTGGTGAACTTCACCCCGCAGGATGCAGCATAGAATCTATATGTTGTCTTGATTCACTGATGCCCAGGGAAGGGAGAGGGTGGGGGGAGGAGGAGTCTCTTTCCAAATCAAGAACCGATCCCAGCTCCCGGGAAATAAATCAAGGTGCTGGTGTGGAGGGACCCAATGCTAGTCAAACTCCCGATTTTTAGTGTCGTGCTTTTTGGCCTGGATCATGGCATAGAACACGTTTCTTTGTTAACTCTGAGCTGCCCACGAATGGCTTTTATAACCTTCAGTTTTTAAACACACAGCCTGGTGCAGGAAAAAAGAGAACCAGAGCCAGAAAGCAGCCTTCCCCAACACAGGACCTTGTGCCAAGTGTGTGAGTTAATTACCTTGAAGATCCCAGTACAGGAGAGAATGAGGGTGCATTGAAGTGACCAGCAGAAATTCCATGTAAAATCTGTTCTTAGTAGAAGTTCTGTGCTCTGCTATCGCCAAGGGACACATAGCAAATGCGCTTGGAGTCGGAATTTCTACAGCAGCCCAAGGGCAGAAATGCCCAGGGCTGGCCGTGCTGTGAGGTGGGGTGGCGGGAGAGGCCCCGGCGTGTCCTCCTGAATCAGTACGGCTTCATTCAGCCTTTTCCCAGAGTCACCTCCCTGGGGAGGGAAACTCAGTGCCCCCAGCGCGTGAGCGGCAGCTGATAAGGAAGCACTGGACCAGAATTTCATGAACGAAAACAAAAGCCGACTTATCTTCCGTGGCAATATGTTTATGAACATGTTAATCATCGTTCATATAAACAGCTCAGATTCTTGGCTTAGAGTCAGACTTCGTGTTGTTAAGGTCCTGACTTATTTTCAGGGGAGGGCGGAACACAGTTATAGACCCGGAGAAGGGTTTTATGAATAAAGAGTTTCAAAATATTTGTCTCTTGCTAGTGGGGTGGTTAATTTTTTCCAGTCACATTACATGAGCAATACTTTCATGTTTAACGTAGTAGTGGACCAGCGACCATCGGCCGTTCATTCCGCTCGCATTCTCTCTGGGGAAGGTAACCAGCGTAGAACACTTCGCACGCATTTTCTCATTTGTCCTGACAGGCTCAGCGGTTCTGAGATTGCTATCTGCGGGAACACAGATTCCTGCCTAGAAACATGTAATGGAGATGATCTAGAACAGGCTCGCTCCGGCATTGTTCAGTGCACTCCCAGGTCACCCAGGACCTCGTTAAAGGGCAGATTCTGGCTCAGTAGCCCTGGAGTGAGATTCTGCCTTCCTAACCAGCTCCCAGATGTTACCAGTCTTGCTGGTCCGTGGGCCACCCTTTGAGACCTGGGATCTAGAACACATTTTGGTATTGCCTTGCTTTTTTTTTCATTTGGTCAACAGAAGCCCCTTTGTCCGTGTGCCTGTCTGCTCCTGAATTCGGCTAGACGCTGGTACAGTAGTCCAGTGTTCTTTCTGAGACAGTTCTCAGATTGAAACTCTGGCTGACCATTTTTTTTTTTTTTAGACAATATTCAACTGGGTGGGTATCTGTGTGCGAAGGGCGCCCAGAGACTTAAGTTGAAATTTAGCCGTAAATTGATAGCGGCTGCAGATTTAATTCCCATGTGCAACCCCAACACCAGAAAAGTGAGAATCTGAGGAGCCAAGTGGGAACGGCTTATGATCCAAAATGCAAAAATACCAGCTGAGAAGAAGCGGTGAGCAGTACTGGAGTTAAAAAAAAAAAAAAAATTATCTTTTACTCAACCAAAGCTATAAAGGGTAGGTAGGATTTCACAGACCACACGAGCCGAGGTGCTTGTAGCCAAACAGACCAAATAAATTAAGGCAACTCTGTGTTGAATTTCACATTGCATTTCAGTGGTGTGCTCTTTGGGATACGAAAGTTAAGAAGAGGCACATCTTTTTATTTATTCTTTTATTTGTTTATTTTGAGAGAGACAGAGCGCGAGTCAGGGAAGGGCAGAGGCAGAGGGAGAGAGTGAACCCTAAGCAGGCTCTGTGCTGCCAGCACAGAGCCCGATGTGAGGCGTGAATTTACAGAACCACGAGATCATGACCCGAGCCGAAGCCAAGAGTCAGATGCTTGACTGAGCCACTGAGGTGCCCCAAGAGATGCATCTTTTGCAACATAGGCAGACCCTTTGAGGATTGACCCGCCAAACTACCAGTCTAAAACAGGGTTAAATAGTCTGTTTAAAGAGAGGCTTAAAACAAATTATATTGCCTGCCCTGCAAGTGAGATTTGATAGCCATTTCCAGATGTCCAGCAGCAGAATACCTCAAGTATCTGGCTGTCGCTTTCAGTTGGCCCAGAATGACACATGGCATGGAACTGAGCACCCATCAATCCAAGAAGGCATAGTTTTGAAGTGGTTCTAGAATAAGATTTAATGTAGAAATCATTTCGTGTGTGCATACTTAGTAAGGATGCGCATGGTGATGTTCTGGAGTATATTTTAAGTTTATGTGTTTATTTTGAGAGACAGAGTGCATGAGCAAGGGAGGGGCAGAGAGAGATGGAGACACAGAATCTGAAGTAGGCTCTGCACTGTCGGCACAGAGCCCGATGCAGGGCTCGAACTCATGAACCTGTGAGTTCACGACCTGAGCCGAAGTCAAACGCTTGACCGACTGAACCACCCAGGTGCACCTGTTCTGGAATACGTTTTTGAAAGGACCTTGAAATGACTTAGAGTCTTCATAATCGTTAACATAACTTGCGCCGAGGATGGGAAGGATAGTTACTAACTTTGTATGTGCAAAGTGCACTGAAGATTTACGAGACAGATGACAATACATTATGAACTCAAAGAAACTGTTGCATTCACTTAAGCTCTTACCGTCATTGTTAGCATGTTGTGGGAACAATATTATTCCGGTCTTGCGATTGATCGCATGCAGTTCTTTTAGAGAACTTCTAAATTCATTTAGAGAAAGAGCTATAGTAGATATTTACATGGAGAAATAACTGGACAGTTAAGACTGATTTAATATGACTGGGTGAAGGGGGCCTGGGTGGCTCAGCTGGTTGGGCGTCCGAATTCAGCTCCAGTCATGATCTCTCAGTTTGCGAGTTCAAGCCCCGCATCGGGCCCTGTGCTGACAGCTCGGAGCCTGGAGTCTGCTTCTGAGTCTGTGTCTCCCTCTCTCTCTGCCCCTCCCCCACTCATGCTCTGTCTTTCTCTCTCAGAAAATAAACATTAACATTTAAAGATATATATATAACTGGGTGAGATTATAAAAAGAAATGAGGGGTGACTGAGAGAGGCAGATGGCAAGTAAGAGGACGAGAAGGCCATGCTCGTTTCCAAGGAAGAAGTGTCATTTGGGGGATTTCGGGGCCGACCTCGAGCATGAATTGGTAGACTTATCAGATTTGTCAGCTCTCTTCTGAGGGGGTCATGAGGGTAACAAAGGGATGAACTTAGGTCAGTTCCAGGTGGAAGCAGACCGAGGTAGATTGTAAGAAACTCTTTACGTGGTCTTGACCTGTGGTCGTAGGAAGTTTCTTTAGAAGGCTCGGGAAGCCCTGTGAGAATCTCTCAAGGAGAGTTTCCAGATCAATGGGTGAAAACGTTAGATCGATAAAATGAACAAAACGATAATTGCTGAGTAAAACGCAAATCTAATGGGATACAGGTTGGGTATTTCTTTGGATTGCTGGATTTTCATCCACGGTATTTATTCTAACGGACGCAAGACAAAAAGCATACAAAATATGTGTTATAAAATTACATTATTGGTCTTTCAGTCATTTTATTTGTCCTTGCAGATTTACCTTATGACCCACCCAGGAGATCAGCCTGGACCAGTCACGGCCACCCCACCCCCCAGTCGAAAGGTAGGTACAGTGTTGGCTCCCGTTGCTTGAATCTGCTTCTCACCAGGAGATGACCCTTGGTGACATTTGGTGACCATTGGTAGCGTGCTGATTTCTGCAGGGTATCTACGCTTTATCAGCATAAAATGTTTGCTCCTTTGGCAGCAAAGAGCAACTTGATCTTTAGATGCAATGATTCTTTTTTTTTTCTAAGTTTATTTATTCATTTTTGAGAGAGAGAGAGAGAGAGAGAGAGAGAGCGCACACACGCAGGGGAGGAGCAGAGAGAGAGAGGGAGGGAGGCACAGATTCCGAAGCAAGCTCCAGGCTCTGAGCCGTCAGCACAGAGCCTGACGCGGGGCTCGAACTCACAACCACGACATCATGACCTGAGCAAGGATTCTTTCTTGATTGGGGTTATAGAAAGGAAATTTTCTTGCCATTAAATGCTGCTTAGTCTAAGAGTAAGACTATTATGTTAATAGCTAAGCTAATCGATGGAATGATAATACAGCATCAAAGATGAGTGGCCAGATAGAAGTTATAACTAACTCTCTCTTTTATTTTGGGATTTTCAGCTGCTCAGCCATCTCCTTCCGCAGTGCCCAAAACTGAAGACCAGCGTCCACAGTTAGGTATGTTTCAGGGAACGTCTTGACGGCCGTCGAAAAAGAAGTAGGCTTAGCAGCATGTTTCTAAAATGTGTCACTTCTAAATGAAGTTAATGCGACTTTGTCTTCTTTAAAATTTTTTTTTTTAACGGTTATTTATTTTTGAGACAGAGAGAGACAGAGCATGAACGGGGGGAGGGGCAGAGAGAGAGGGAGACACAGGATCCGAAACAGGCTCCAGGCTCCGAGCGGTCAGCACAGAGCCCGACGCGGGGCTCGCACTCACGGACCGCGAGATCGTGACCTGAGCTGAAGTCGGACGCTCAACCGACTGAGCCACCCAGGCGCCCCAAGATTTTGTCTTCTTTATCATGGCTCCATGCATAAAATATGGACCAAAATTATCAGTCTACTCAGTAGGGATAACTCGAGATTTTGCTAAGACATTTCCAAACCTATGCAGTAAATATGGAAAGAACATTCTGCTTGCACACACGTCCCTTCTCTGTGACAGACGGGTCCTTTTAATTTTACCCCCAGGCCACATGCCGCAAGCCCGCACTCATGCCAGGCCCCATGCGGAACACCGCGGATTGGTGATATCCAACGGAACACCGTTGATGTTGCCAGTGTGCCGAACAACGTGGCCGGTGTGGCCCCGGACCCAGTGGGGACATAGCACATGTTTGCCCAGTTTATGTCCTGGGATGGAGAGAGCCAGGTGTCGGGAACCCCAAGCCAGAGCTGAGCTTAAGACGTCTTTGGCAAGAAACTTCTCTCGGATTCCACGTGACATCTTATTCAGTACAGGAAGTGGTGCTGGGCGACTTTGGTGTGGGGGATTCAATGACTCTGAAACCTGGAAACACAAGTCGGGGGTAACATACCTGCAGTGACATCACACCAAGCTGCGACAAGGTGTCTGGGATTTGACTTCTTTTCTTTTTGTTGTAGATCCTTATCAGATTCTCGGACCAACAAGTAGCCGCCTTGCAAATCCAGGTGAGAGACTGCTGGTGGTTTTGCCCCTAACAAAGTTACCTTTTTGGCAGTGGCTGTTTTGAAAGATTAACTTGTATTGGCGAGAAATCCTTCCAGCTGCACAAGGTGGAGTTTAGATCTCGTTGGATTATTTGCAAGAGTGGAAAAAAACTAAACGGGTCATGGAATCGATTAAGATCTTAGCTGCCGCAAAGGGCAGGATCACCGAATCTAAACTGTATCAGTTGCCTAGGGCTGCCATAACAAACACCACAAACCGGGGGCTTAGATAACAGATATTTACCGTCTCACAATCTGGAGGCCAGAAGTCCAAAATCGACGTGTCACGTGACAGGCAGCATTTGTTCTTTCCGAGGGCCATGAAGGACGGATCTGTTCCGGACCTCTCTCCTTGGCTTGTAGACGGCTGTCTTATCCCTGGGTCTCTTTACCTGTCTTCTCTCTGTGCGTGTCTCTGTGTCCAGATTTCCCTTTATAAGGACACCAGTCATACTGGATTAGACCTACCCTACGTCACTTTCACTCAAACAGCTCTGTAAAGCCCCTTTTTCAAAAAAAAAAAAAAAAAAAAGTCACATTCTGAGATTACTGGGGGTTAAGATTCCAACCTGTGAATTTTGGGGAGAGGGGACACAGTTCATCCCATGACACAGGGAGGTCAAACCCTATCCTAAAAAGGAGAACCTTAACTCCAACCCAAAGGCTTCAAATGTAGGATCATCTTCGATGAACGGTCTGTTTTTGAAGTTAGAGGCTAGGAGAGGGTGCAGATTCTTAATTGGCCCACTTGTGACCCGTACCTCGCCAAAGATCGTCACCTGTCATCACATTTCAGTGCCAACCAAACTGTTGTATTTGTTTGTATTCAGATCAGAACCAGCTGTGCTGGCATCCACTTCCGAAATTCACAGCATATGCTGAGGGTTTTCAACAGCACATTCAAATGCCAAGATGACACAGGCATATCGCAAGTACAAGCTGGAATGTATATTTCCTAAACACGGAGGCCAAAATAGGGTTGGAAACGGAAAAGTTCAGATTCAAGCAGCATTCATCCCCACAAGGGAATCTGTATTTTGAGAACACGAAATATCATTATCAAGTATCTGCAGCTTTGACATTAAATTTTAGGTAATGTTCACTAGTTCAGAAAAATCCCTCTGAGGCATTTGAGCCATTAGAAAGGACTGTTTTAGGGGCGCCCGGGTGGCTCAGTCGGTTGAGCTCCGACTTCGGCTCAGTCCTGATCTCTCGGTTTGTGAGTTTGAGCCCCGTTGAATTTGCTGCCTCAGATCCTTTGTCCTCCCCCCCCTGCCTTGCCCCCGCCTGCCTCTGCCCCACAGCCTTTTACTAAAAATGAATACATATTTTTAAAAATAGTTTTTTTTAAAAGGGACTGTTTATTACTCAACCCTGGGTACTAGACCAGGCGCTCAGTAATTATTTGTTGAAGAAAAAACAAATGCGAGGAGTAAGGAGATACCGTCCTTGACCTTCGAGGTCCTCACATTCTGGTGGAGAAATGAATACGGGAGATTACAACACTGCCACACAGGTGCTTTGCTCTCAAGGGAGCGTCCAACTGGTGGCCAAGGCTCCCGGGTGTCTGGTCCCCCCCCCAATCCCGGGCTCAGCTCTCCATTTCGAACTGCTTCGTAACGGTTCATATAAAAAGGATTACTATGTTGGGAGATGACTGTTATCAGCCATGCCTCAGGAAGACTGATCTGGCATCAGTGTTCAGGATAGATTAGAAAGAGGAAAGGAACAGAAGCGGGAGCACTCTGGGGAGTTTAATACAATCATGTGAAATAACAATCAAATAGCTCCCACCCTGTGGAAATGCCCGGGCAAGTGCTTAAGTCTGCCATGCCACTGCATGACACAGCCCTGGGAGGTCATTATCTTCATCCTACAGAGGAGGAGTCAGAGGTCCAGAGAAATTAGGTGACTTTCCCTGGGTCACACAGCCAATAAAACGGGAAGTCGCATTTGAACCCTGATTCTCCGTCTCCAGAGTCTGGTTTTATTGTCTTGCCCTGCACCGCTCCTGAGTGAGCCCGAGGGAGGAGGGAGGCCTTGGAGAATGGGGGCCAAGAGAATAGAAAGGAAGGATTTCCCTTGAGTTCTACAACCGTGTAGGTGCTGGGAAAATGGCTCTGTCCACAGTAGGTCAGCAGGCCCAGCACTGGGAGCAAAGGACAGCCCTTTGTCCACTAAGACCATCCTTACTTGGCCTGGGGAAGATGGTGACCTCCAACCAAGGGCTTGAAGAATAAGACTTGTTTTACTTAGTTGATAATGATTAGGCTTCTTTCCATCTCTCCTCGGGCTGCACGTGCATCAGTCGTATTCACGTGGCTTCCCCCACCCCCAAAACCAGAATGTCTCTGGTCTTTCTGGGGATGAGACTCCCTCTTCCTGTTTGACTCTATTTTCCCATTCTCTGGTAAGTAAGCCCTTCATCACTTCAAATTGCTGCCTTCGCTCTTTGTACAATGCAAACTTTTTAAATCATTTTAAGTGGGAAGGTGACATCGTGGTGTGTAAACGCACAAGAGAATAACCGCATCTCGAGGTCTCGGTTCCAGATATTCATGTGACGTTCACTTTGGGCCATATGTCTCCTGCTGAGAGGTGCGTCCCATCCCTGAACGATTACGTCATGGATCACACGTAAACCACACAGCCCCTTGATGTCCCATTAGAATGGCTGAACATGTATGTGGCTTCTCTAATGAACTGAGGCTGCCTTTCCATGAAGGCACCTTCTTGGGTTGTGTTCAGTGGCCCCCCCGGTGCTAACTGGACACTCTTTAATGGGGGGCATGAATTGTATCCAGCTTCGTGCAAAGCCAGAGACCAGTTTTAGGGATGTTTTGCCATTGGTTAGGAGGTAGGAGTGTCCAGTCTTCCACTTTGAACCTCCCAAGCCCCAGGCCAAGGGAAAGGACAACCTGGGGAGGACTCGAGGGAGTGGAGGTCAGGCCTGAAAGCAATGGTTCGTGCTGGGATTCGGGCATCCGAGCTTAGAGACTGGGTTCCAACCTTTGCCGACATTGGGCAAGATGAATCACTCTATCTCTCTGGGGTCTAATGTCCTCATCTCAACAGTGGGCTCCCTCACGATTCTTGGGGGGATTACATAAATACAAGTGTTCAGGATGGTATCGGCAAAGAGTAGGCTTTCGGTGGCCGTCAGCCAGCCCGAGAACACCATTCACAGTTTTTCCCGGCCAACATGGGGTGCACGGGGAGGGGCACTTGGCTTCGTTCTGTCCTCTTGTAGCTCTAGGCAAGGTGTGTGCCTCTCTTTAAACTCTGGTTTTCGGAGCACCTGGGTGGCTCAGTTGGTTAAGCGTCCAACTTCAGCTGGCATCCGAGCTAGAGACTGGGTTCCAACCTGCCGACATTGGGCAAGATTGAATCACTCTTATCTCTCTGGGGTCTAATGTCCTCATCTCAACAGTGGCCCTCACGATTCTTGGGGGGGGGATTACATAAATACAAGTGTTCAGGATGGTATCGCAAAGAGTAGGTGGCTTTCGGGTGGCCGGCCAGCCAGCCCGAACACCATTCAGTTTCGCCAACATGGGGTGCACGGGAGGTTCTGGCTTCGCTTCTCTGTCCTTGTAGCTCTAGGGTGCTGTGTGCCTCTTTAAACTCTGGCTTCGGAGCACCTGCGGCCCAGTTGGTTGCTGGCCCAACTTCAGCTCAGGTCATGATCTCACAATTGTGGGTTTGAGCCCCAGATCGGGCTCTGTGCTGACAGCTCGGAGCCTGGAGCCTGCTTCGGATTCTGTGTCTCCCTCTCTCTCTGCCCCACCCCTGCTCAAGACTCTGTCTCTTCTTAAAAAATAAATAAATGAACATAAAAAAAAACGGGCATCTGGTGGTTCAGTCGGTTAAGCTGTCCACTGCTAAGCCATGATCTCATCGGTTCAGGGTTCGAGCCCCGCTGGCTCTTGGGCTGGATAGTTCGAGCCTGAGCCTGCTTCGGATTCTGTGTCTCCCTCTTTCTCTGACCCTCCCCTGTTCATGCTCTCTCTCTCTCTGTCTCAAAAATAAATAAATGTTAAAAGAAAAAATTT